CAAATGGGATTTATAGAAAGGAGAAAAACTGCTTACGGATTTGAGATGATTTTCGTTAAAGCAAAAAAAAAAACTATCTGTGTACAAGTTAACCAGTAAAAATAAATAAAAATTATTTTTCTATTTATATGTAATCTTCATCCTTTTTTCTCTTCCCCACATAATCGCCATTGATTTCATTTTCTTTTTTAAGGCTATAGAACCACTTCTGAAAACAGTCTTCAAAATCTTGCTTTTTACGCATATCAAGTTCATCATTAACTACATTAATTATCTCCTCGTTGCTTTTAAAGATCTTTCCTTTTAACTTTTTTCATTATTTGAAATAAAAAGAAATCAGAAGTTGCCCTATCCGGGGAACATAGTGCTGGACGTGTTTCTTGTGGAATTACTTTAGATCGGGTAAAGTAAACTGACATCATTTCATTTCCTACTGATTTTTGTTGCTTAAATTTTACGGTCGGGCTTGCTCCTGTTCGACTCTATACCATGGACTGCTGTTTGGTTTCTGGATCGTACTTATAGAACCAAGATTCGTCGCCAGTAGAGACTTTAGTACTAGTAACCATTTCTCGTGTCAATTTTGGTCTTCACCAGAGCTACAATGACGTCGTTAGTGGAAGATTTTGGTAGACCTTTTCGAGGCTCGTCATCGAAGGAAAAGTGTCTGGTTTGGAATCTTTAAAGACGGTGCAATCGTTCCATATTCAATTCGACATTCACTGAATATTTGTTTTGGCTCTAAATTACCCCGAAACCCGAAGAGAAACACATGGCGAATTTCTGTTTGCTCGTTTGCGTTTTCTCGACTCCATTTTAAACGATCGTTCTTAAATTTGAAAACAGGACTAATTAAGTAATTACAAAGGATTTGGAATTGTTAAGATTAAACAAATACCAATTGAAACGCACCAACTGAACGAACTTTTTTTAATCCCCTCGTATATTCATAGAAATTCCGTAAAAATACTTTCACTCAGTGAATTTTTATGTTGCTTTTCAGAGCGAAATTATAGCTTAAGATTATGAAGACGTTTTCTATGAAAACCATTTTTTAAAAGACCTTTCTCGTCATCATCATTTGAGTTCACGAAATTCGAACGAAATAGCTCGTTTTAATGGTAGTTTGTAGATCATTCTATGCAGCGAGCTGTATATTGGACAAAAATACCCTCTGTACATGCTCGACCAGTGCGTTCAGAAGAAAATGTTTCTGCTTTAGCTAAAAGTGTGCTCTAACTGACATCAACTTCACCACAACAAATCTCACTTTTCTTTGCTCTTGATTTTGCATAAAACCTTTGGTCTGAAAATTTAAATTAAAAAAAAACACCAATTCAGTTCACGGGCTGAAGATGCCTCAACACGATCAGATTTTGTTTCGCTTCACTCCTTGAGCTGACGAACGCTTAGCAGAAGATCAAAACTTAAATCATTTCAACTTCGCGGCCACGACACAAAACTGTCGCACTTGGGTCTCAGATAAGCCGCACATAACTATGGAAAAACCAGTGCATCTTCAACTGTTGAGGCGTCATGTGGAACGGCAGCATAAATGATCCGTGTTACTTTGGAAACGAGTAAGAAACTGTCGCTATCTTTTCCGCCTTGTCTTCAAAAATAACGTAATTAGTCGAAATGACTTTTTCAGCTGCGATTTGACTCCGCTGGACTAAGTTTTGAATGGAGCTGTTAAGGATAAGTGTGACGCCTACTATCCACAGACGATTCATGACTTGAAACAAGAAAAAAAAAATTTAGGCGCCAGGCAGACCTGAATGGTTTCCTACAAAGCTAGCAAAGTGTAATTAACATATAGAATATTGCCGACAGACTTTCCATGTCGCTTGGAATACGGCCAAAACAATCGTTCGAAAGGTTGACAGCGAGCCTGGTTTTTGGCAGAAAATTTTGATGACTAGCGAGGCCAATTCCAACCTCTCTGGCAGCGTTAAAAAGCAAAATTACAGCATTTGGAGAACGGAGAATTCACATGAGATACATGAAACGCTATTGCATATCCAGAAAATAACTATTTGGGCCAGAATTTGCGCAAAAACCATATTTTTTTTAAAAGAAAACGAAACAGTCGATGAAAAGCTACATCGGTGGATCTTGGCTCATTATGTGTATCCGCAAACATGTGAGAAAGGTCTAGATGGTTACTGTTTTCAACAAGACGGTGCACTATGCCACATTGCTATCGCAACAATAGCATTTCTGAAACGAAAATTCCACGAACGCCTGGTATAAAAACGAAGTGACATTGACTGGCCACCCAGATCTCCTGATTTAACTCTCCGGATTTCTTTTTGTGGGGTTATATGAAGAGCAAGGCTTACGCCAACCAGCCTCAAACTATTAATGAGCTCAAGGCTGGAATCGATGCAATAACACCCGATATGCTCCGAAAGTTAAAGGCAAACGCGGAAAAGAAGTTGCTAATAAAGGTAGCCACTTGAATGATATTGTTTTCAAACACTTATAGAAATATGCTTTTTTTCTTAAAGTTATTCTATGTTTACATACCGACATAAAAGCACCCTGTAAAAAAATTTCACCATAAACTCAATATTTATATTATTTTTATAGCTTTCTTGTAAGCATTACGGTACATCATTTTTACTTTGGTCCGAAGTACATATATTGTATATGTAAGCACCAGAGGGGATGAGATAGACCCATCGAAATATATAACGAAATGATGAGTTTGAAAAGCTGAGTTGACTTAGCCGGTCCGTCTGTCGGCCCTTTTGTAGTCAGTTTATTTTTATTTTTTAATCAAACATATATTTCACGGTCAATATATTGAAATCGCATTTTGCAATAAATTTGTTTAGTCCTTCAAAAGTATTAAGACTTGGTTTGTTTTATTTTTAATTAATTTTTATTTAAATTTTATTTGATGCATTATTTTTATTTTTGCTAAAAATTAAAGCGAACCTTTAACTGAAGGTTTGGCAAATGAAACAACAAAAAAAATGTTTAATCTACTCTATATGATCTCTTTCCACTGATTTTGTTTTAAAAAACGATACTCTTGTTTTGTCCAAATTAAAATACACAAAATTAAAAATACTTTTTTTTTTTAATTTATTTGAAATTTTTAAAATATGTAAATGAGCAATTTGCAAACAATACTTGCATATATGAGATTTGCAATTTGATTCTAATTTTTCGTTTTTCAAAAAAAAAATTAATTTTTTTTTCATTTTTTCATTTATGCATTTAACTGTATGTTTGTGTGCCATAAACAGAGAGAATTTATGGCAATAGACGAGTAAATAAATGACTGTGTAAATGCCACCAATTTATTAGCTTTGCAGTGAGATCACTGCATTTATATAATATATAATATGTATTTATATAATGGCGTATATGCCCATACTCGTATGTGAAGCGTATTTTTTTTCAGATAATTATAATACACAAATGCACTCCATTCGAATGTGCTATAATTATCTCCTAAGATTTGAAAAAGTTCAAGCAATGATTTTGAAATAAATCATTTAGAAACCTAAAACGAGGTCATAAAAGAATAAGAGTGATGACTCATTACAAATATTACTGTAAAATGACGGTTGAATATTAGACACTTACTTCTAAAGTATATAAAGTTGCTAATGAAAGACCCTTTATAAATAAAAGAAAAATTTTCGACATGAAACTGAGATAAAAATCATAAAAAAAATTAATAAATTTAAAATTAAATTAACCGTATCGTCTGCAACCGTTGAAGGAGACTTAAATATTAGGTCTAGTAAAAATTAATCCATTATTTTGGCATTAGATGGCTTTAGTGATCAGTATCTCGCGTTCTATGTATACGTGTGATTGGATTACACGAGATGATGTTAGAATAATTCAAATTTGTGCTTAAAAAGATAATGATAGAAGGAAGTTATGTTTGAGCGCAAGACAAGAAAAGGATACCAATAAAGAGATAGCACGCTATATTCCACAATTATAGGGGAATATACAAGTAAACCATCTGAAAATGTGAGTAGGGTTGCCGATCCTGATACTGAACAAAGACGCTCCAATTGGCAAAAATATAGATAAAATAATGGAAATCTCTTTCGAGTTTCGAGTTTCGGAGTTAAGTATTCTACAATGAGCAGCTTGGAACCACTTGAAAAAAGTTGAACTCCCAAAAAAGCTCGATATTTCGATGTCGCATGAGTTAGTGAGAAAAAAACTCAAGGATGGCGATAAAAGGTGGCTCGCTTGCGGCAACTTCAAAAGTAAACGGTCGTGATCGAAGGGCCGTGAGCCAGCACAAATGGTCTCACAGCCAGTATTATTGGTCAGGAAGGTTTTTTTTTTGTGTTTAGTGGGATTGACAAGGAATCATCCACTATGAGCTGATCCCCAAAAGCGAAACACTTAATCTGTCATCAGTTGGTCTGTCTGAAGGTAGCAGTTGCACAGAGGTGCCCAGCATTGGCCGAAGGTGGGGATGTGTGTTTCATCCTTACAACGCCAGACCACTCAAATTGATAGTTACTCGAGAATTTGGTTAAGTGATAACCAACTGGCCGGCTTATTGCGAATTATTTTGCTGGTGAGGAATTGACCTTTAAAGAAGCGTATGAAAATTTCTTATCCCAATTTTTTTTGCCAATAGGGACTAAAGTTTCTATAAGAGAGCCATAATGATATCACCTTTAAAGTGGCAAAAGGTTACCGAGTAACACGATGCATATATGACATTAAACGCATAATTCTAGTTATGGTAAATAAAGCCTTCAATGCAATGCTAATATAATGGATTACTTTTTACTTGACCAATGTTACTAAAAAACACGTTGTATTATATATTTCCATAAAAATTTGTTAATAAATTTGCTGTTATTTTTCGATTTTAATCTACATCATTTAATATGTATTTGCAATTAAAAGCAGATGCGTAAATCAATTTTCGATAAGCTCACTAAATTAACTAAAATCACATAACTAAAATAGACAAAAAAAAAATTAACATATGAACTTTGGCTTACCATTTTCTACTGCTGATTTATGGCAACATTAATCTTCCGTTTCTTTTGTCTTTATTAGATTTTATCATAGTATTAAATTTGCAAATATTAATAATATGTATGCATGTGTGTATGTTGTCTATGCGTTATTGGCTAGCTAAATGACATTAGTTGTTTTTGTTTTTTTTTTTTTCTTGTACTTTTTTAACACTATATAGTAATTATCCAGCACTATTTTCGGTTTTTAAATTTGCCATAAATTTATTCAAATATTTTATTATTTATGGCTGAGCGGCCTTTTTATTTTCGATTATATTTTTTTTCGTTTTTTCTTTCTTTCGTATTTAAATGCACTTTTCGTGTTTCATTTATTTATGACTTCATCGAAATTAGAAAATTTTTTATTTTGCGTTTTTCCATTTACGGAATTACAAACCCTTTTTTTTAATTAATTTTTGTATTTTCTTTTAGTTTTGTTATATTTTCACTGCAATTCGAAAAAAATTATTATTAAATTTCATAACTTAGATAGAAAGCATTAATTAGAAAAAAAAAATTTTTCTTCAATGAACAAACGCATGCTAACTTCATGTGCATAAATAATTTATTTATTAAAAAGTGGCAAATATAAAATTTTGATATATGATAAGGAAGTTTGAATGTCTAGAATTTAAAATAATGTTAATAATATTCGGATTTTTTCTTAAAGACAATTGCAGCTCTATTTTATGTAACAAATCAAATGCATTTTTTTGTCTATGTAAAAATAAAAATAAAAATATTTAAGCTTTACATCAGTTACTCAACCTAAAATTCATAGAAATTGAATTTTGCAATAAATTTGTTAGTACAAAGACTTGGCTAGTTTTATTTTGAATTTATTTTTAATTTAATTTCTTTTGTTCGTTCATTATTATTAAAAATAATTTTTTTCCAAACTTAAATTTTTGTCTTCCTCTTAAATTATGAATTTTTGCTTTTTTCTATTCTATTCGTTTTAAAAAAAAATTGTTACTGCATCTTAAAAACTTAAAATGAAATCAAATTTTTTCAAATATATTTACATATTAAGTCGTTTTCCGACCTAACATCTGAAACTAAAAAAAATGTTTTTTCATTTAAACGACTTTTTCACTTTTAATTGTGAAATTAAAAGTTTTTTCTGTGACGTAATTTTTAAATTGCATCAAAAAAAGAATGCATTTTCTTAAAAAAAATTAATTGAAAAGAAAAATTGGAGATATTTATTTCTAGTATCTAAGTTAAACTTTAAGCTTTCAAAAAGTGATTTCAAAATCAGCTGGTGCTTTTAATCATTTTGCCAACAAAAGACAAAAAAATATTATATTTTTAAACAACACATCTTAGGATCATATTCTCTATTAATTAAAAGAAAAAATAATGATTCTAAATATTGGCATTTTTATTTGAAAATAAATTTTAAATTTATTATATTTCATCTCATATTTCTTCATTGGTTATTTACAATATTTCAAAACGTTTAAAATTCACTTTTTTCTTGAAAACAATTTATAACTTTTTTTATCATATTTAAATCTTATTATTTACGTTTCTTTCAATTCTAAAAAAATCGTTTTTATAAGAAAAAATTATGGCTTTGTTGAAAAAAAAACAAATATTTAAATTTTTTTTAAATATTAATTATCTCTGTATTTCCGAACATTTTTTTTTTTTGTAAAAAAAAAACATTAATGATTGTGACGATCAAAATCCAAGTTTTATTTAGACATGACTAATGTATTATTAATTTTTTTATTTTAGTCAAAATCAAATTTTATCAAAGTATTTTTATTTAATGAATAAAATGTTTATAATTTATTTATATTGCAAAAAATTATCTCTTGCAGCTACTGGTCTTTTCTGTTTTAATTATAAAATTTATATTTAAGAATGAATTTTATTATTAATAACAAAAAATAAATTAATAATTGCAAAAACGACTTTTTATGTTTAAGTACATTAATATTATATATTTCGAAAATTCTAAATGATATAATTTTTAATGAGAAACTGAGTAGCCATCCGTATTTAAACAAAACTAAAAATTGTTATATTTAAAAATTTAAATTTTACTGAAGTCATAAAATAATATAGCAACTTTATATAAAAAAATAATCAATTGTATGAATTTACCGAGATTTCATAAAAAATGCGGTACAAAATTTGAAATCACTTCCTTATTCTATACACAAATTTACATAAGTATTTTTATTACTTTTTTTTGTAATCTTCTCAGGCATCTCTATTTGAATAAAACTCAGCATTCAACACAAGAAGTCAGCAAACACATTATTCACTAAATAAAAAAATGTAAACAAAATAGCGTTGAACAAAATTTAAAAATAAGCACGAACAAAAAATTGAAGTGGAGATAAAAAAAATTAAAAAAATAAACAAAACGAAAAATAAAAAAAAAACCGCTTGAAAGACTGATTTGAAAGGCGCTGAGTTGTAATACTATTCTAATGGAAAGCAGCGAGGCGTTTCAAATCCAATTTTCCAACACATATGAAAGCCAACTGGAGGTGTGTATGAGTCAAGTGGCCTACACAGCACATAAAAAATAAAAAAATATATATAAACATTAACACCACCACAACAACAGTAAAAGAAAAACACATTAATAAGAATGATTTTTGTAAGCAGATTTTTTTTTTCAATTTTCAACTTCAACACGTTCTTCAAATTACACTAGAATTGCTGCGTACAAAAGTTTGAATTTAAATTTTTTTGTGTTTTCAATGCTTTAATAAGCTAAGCAACTCACTCACACTTGATTATCACTAGAAATTGTATTGAATTACCATTAAACGCATTATACGAGCGTAAGCTTCACTTACACTAAATGTGCTGTCGTTAATTTTTTTGTTTTTGTATTTGTTTTTCTTTATTTATTTTTCAAACAATCCGCCCACTCAAACGGAACGCACTCGTTCAACACACTCGACGCACTTGCACTCGTCCAATGTCAGCGGCACGCGATTGCAACTGTATCTGACAGACGTCAATCAATCACTGCACAGACAGCTCACGAGCCCGAGCCCCACAATTCGCTGGCGTAATAAACGCATCGAACGCACTTGCAACACTTGCAACATCAACCACAATCAGATCAGCCGGCCAACGCAATGCAGAGTTACCGGTATTGATGCCGGTGCCGATGTGTATTGTTGTTGCACCGCCAAATTTTACACTGCCAAAACAAAATGCACTCAAACACTCAACTTATTGTGTCCAACGTCAAAACGAGCGAACGGAACACAAACACACCACCGGACGTGTGTGAAGTCCATACACCGTGTTGTGTTGTATGTATGCTTTGCAATCGGCAGCGGAAAGCAGAATGCTCGTCGTACATTAGTCAGTTCACCGCTTACAAACCGTCGCGCACGAGATACAAACTGCAACTGAATTCGTGGAGTCAATTCGAGTTACGGTGAACTGAAGCTTTTCAGAAGTAGCGGCATTTGCGTTGGCTGTGCTATATAAGTGTGGTTAAACAACAACATTGCGTTGGAGCTGTGTGGAACAAAGTAGCGCTCGGGTGGTGAGTAACATGTTTGGATTTGGATTTTTACGTATTTTTACGCTCGTAGCTTCAATGTTGCTGTACGCAGTTGGAGAGTTTGGTGAGTTTTTGATACGATGGCTGATGTGGACAGTAAGTTAACGGTTTTGTTTAGATACATTTTTTTTTGGTATATTTTTGAGCATGCTAATGATACGAGCTGAAGATAATCTGTCTGAAAACAGAAACTTTTTTTATGGTTTTGAAGTGTTCAAAAAGAATTCTATAAAAAAAAAAACTTCGAGGAAGTACACCCTGTAGCGGTGACTCACAGGCTACCCTTAGGAAAATCGAACGCTATCAAGATACCCAATTGAGGCGAGGAACCTAAGAGCCAGAATCCGGGCTGCCGTTTTCAGCCTTACGGAAAAGTCACAATTACAGGAAAATGGGTTACATTAGGTTAAGCTGGCGAACTGCTACGGCATACGGAGGGTGCCCTTTGTAGAGTCAAAAGGAGATTCAATTTAATTCCATTTAGAAAATTCATCAAGCGTGAACTTCTTAAATATCTGATAAGAAGAAATTAAAAGATATCTTTCTTAATCTCATATATGTTGGTCTCACTACATTAGTAATGCCCTTTATGCCCAAAAACACCGTTAAGTTTTGGCCAATCTTTAAGCCTACCACCGGCCAGCAATCTTACTATAAACAACTTCAACTTAAAAAACAGTTTTCCCGAAAGAGTACAACTCTACGAACTCATGGCTGAGTGGCTTAAGGTACAGAAGGTGACTCGTCCAAGTATAAGCAGCGAAATATACTGAGAAGACTTAATGAAAGTTTTTTGACTTCAATATCAAAAAGGTTTGTTTTCCAAATTTGCTCAACTTTAAGAATGCATTCAAGCCCCAATAAACTTTAGTAAAAATGACACTTACTGATAAAAATGTAATGTCGTCTTGATATAAATATTTATTTCATAATAAATTAATTATTGGGGTACAACGCTTTGTGCATGCTATGATGATTTGTGATTTTTTCATCATATGATATAAGCTATACTGTGATATATAAGAAATCACATGCTTTTTTTCTCTTTTAATTCGCTTTTAAGAGTATAAAAATTATTAAATTAGGTAGTGTGAAATATCTCCAGTGTGATGTTAACCATGTGATGTGATGTCCTATGATGTAACATCATATGCTGCAATTGTTGTGATATTATGTGATATAACTTGTTTTAGTTGATGTATGATTTTATTATGTGATTATTATTTACCTATATAAACCTAATACAGACTTATATTTTCTTAATTGTATGCTATTTACGAGTATATATTGCAGCAAGGTCGCGTGATTTTTTGTTCATGATGTGATATCATGTGCCATGAAAATTTTAATAAATTTTTTTTAGTAATTTCTAGTGTGTATAGCAAATTCCAGTGGAGAGATTAGCATTCGTTCATTGTTCGAAGTGATGTAATGTTTCGCTTACACTTGATGCGTTGGAATATCGCATGCTATGATGTCATATCATATGATTTAAATTATAATATGAAGGTAAATAATTGTTTGCTAATTCTTATGTAAATTATATTTTAAGAAGAAATTCTTTCAAATGCTTATATACACGTTTGTAAAATTAATATTACATTATAATTTTATACCCATTTAAGCCTTTTTTATCGTATCCCACTAAATTTATTTAAATTTTTTTTATAATTTTAATAGATGCTGTTGTTACATGTTTTTGAACCAATGACCCTCCAGTGTGTAGTGTATATTATTTCCTCTTAAATAAGTAAGTCCAAAGCACTTTATTGGTTTCAAAAACCTTTAAAAATTTATTACGCATTGATAATTTGTGTTCTTCAAAACATTTATCCCTCTAAAACCGTAAATACGTTTGTAATCTTACAACCCTATATCACTTTGAATCACATTTCCTAAGTTGATTTTCATCTTTCAATTCTCAGTTTTGCCTCCAACTTCTGTTCCCTGTATGAGAGTGTACAGCGAGAAAGCGAATTTGCCAATCTGGGAAGCATAAATCAAATGTTTAGACTTTATCACATAAGTGTACCACACTTCAGAGCCACATAATTTAACCCACCGCCACACTTGTCTCCAATTTGACCACGAATAGTTTCAGACACGAAAAACGCAGTGGTGTTTGTGTACGCTGCAAAAAGAATAAGAGAGTTTTTCGAAAACGACGATCCCGCTCAATCCAATTGCAATGGAAAATTGCATTGGGCAAGAGTTCACAATCGCTTATGAGATATGAAGCAGACGAGCAGCAGGGTAAGATTTGTAAAGTTAGGCAAGTAAAATATGCAAAAGAAATAATATTCTCCGGAAACTCCACATCACCGAACCAGTTTAGCAGAGTTGTGGCAGATGTCGCGAACTGAGTGAAGAGTGTGACTGATATAACGGGCGCAATGAGGTTAACGATGCTAAATGGTGATGGAAGAGAGAGAAAGAAAGAGAGATTTGAATTTTTGTTAAATAAATTTTTCTATCTAATTAAAGCCTACTTACCGCTTAATCTGTCCATGCGTTCGTATGCAACCTAATAGCTCTGCATAATGCTCTTCCGCTGACTTGGTTTTATCGCTGCCCAAAAGTTCAACTCTTTCCACCAACAATTGTACATGAGTGCGTATGATATTAATATAAATCGGCGGATATGTATCACTGCCCAACTGATGTGACAGCAAAAAGAACATAACAAATATATCCCAAACCACAATCGTCCAATACTCCCACGCAGCACGTTGGCCATCCAGGTAGGGCACCCAAGCGGCAAGTGGCGCACGATTTTGCCACACGCCCAACGCTATGGTCGTTATCTCGTAACTGTAGTAGGGCAAGCAAAAGAAACCGATCATTTTACAGCAACCTCGCACGCATTTTCGTATTTTCAATAAATCTTTGGCACTCTTGTAATTCTCATCCAATTCATCTAGTATCGGTATGACACTTTGCAAACGTCGCATATTCCAAGTGATGAAGAAGATTTTTATTGGTATACCCGTCACCTGCACCGCATTCTGTATGGCGGCGAGTAGCTCAGTGGTGTTCAGTAGATGCCATGATTTTATGTAGCCAATGTGGAATGAGAGTGGACAAAAGAGACAACATATGAAATTCACAGTTAAAGAATAGGTGTAATAGAGTGTGTAATATTTGTGCGTTCGTGTTTTCCCTGGATTTGTGCCGACGAAAGTGAAAACATTGAAGAGATATGTCAGCGCGTGACGGGATTTGTAAACTCTGCGACCACGCCCACGTAATAAGTCTAACATGTTGTACGGTTAGAACTCGCCTCAGATAATATTATTTTTGTTGAAATCTCTTGATCTTTTCTACAAAGAAGTAGATGAGCTGAAACTGAAATAATTTCCGGCAGGAAGCAACCTTTTATAGGCATTGCCATGAGCTAAAAGCTCGCTTCATTCAAACAAATTTAATTAAATTTAAGCATTTTTAGTAGAGTACAATATATTTCTTAACCCCTTGAACGCCATGTGTAAATTATCACACGAATACTTTGAATGCTCCAGTGCTAATAAATCTTCCACAAACACCTAGTTCCAACCCATCATTTCCGCTACTGGACCGTCCTGTAGGACGAGAGTGATGAGGAATTTGTTGGCTTAATTTTTTGTTTGCCGAGAGAGCACTTTCCTTTGTAAGTTTGCCTGCTCAGTCCAAAGTAGCAACCGTTGGCGTGGAGAGTAATTCTTCGTTGGACTTAAGAGCTGGTTTTCTTATATTTGTGGTTGCTATCTCCAAAATGTACGAAATGATCAAAGTTATGAAGCAGTTAAGTGGGAGCCAAATAAGGGCTTTGTTTGATGACAGAGATATTTTGTCTTGTCTCCATTCGCTATCGCACCCACACGCTGGGTTTCTTTGATCACTTTGGAGAAATCAGAACTAATCTCGTGGGTTGTTAAGGCATCACCGGCATGAACGAGCAATTGTACGATCTTGTAGAACATTGTTCATACCGGAAAAATCCAATCAGTTCCAAACAGTTCAGTTGGCAATGGACTTCATTATTTCGCACATTATGTCAGTTAAGACCTCATATGTTATAGTGAGGCTTATACCATTATTATTTTCTAAGACTGCTGGGTCCCTCTGAATTTGACAAAGCTTTCGTGAAATCAAATTCACTAAATTACCTACAGATTTTCAGTCCAGCTTCCCAAGCTCATAATCATACTCACGCATTTCAGCAGCTTTCTCGTTCTGATCGCAACGTCGTGAGGAAGGCAATTAGTTTTCTCTTTCGACATTTCTCATCTTACCGGCTCTCCTTTGGACATTATCGAAAGCAGGAGTTGAAGTCGTTGTTTGATATTATTTTTACAAAAAGCTATAGCTTGGATCGAGGGACCGCTTTCGATGATTTTGGCAATAGTAATGACATGGAGTTTGCCATATTTTTTCATAGTTGCCACTTCAGAATTAATAATGGTTCTAGTACAAATTTATCCTTCCGACAATTATCGACAAATGATTTTCCAAAACGTGTTTTTCAGTTTCTCCACACCACTCCTTTCGATTGCTCCAAGCACGAGAGATTATTTCCGACAACTTTTTCTTGTTTCAAAACTTGACGAGACACTCTAAAGGAATTTTTCGGTAAGTGAAGATTTAAGAACCGAATACTCAGAAGAGCTTGAGGACATGCCAAAATCTACAAGAGGAGAAAGCATAAATTGATTTAGAAAAATATTTCTTGAGAAAAAAGAAAACTCGCCTATATGTACCGTGTGATTTCATAAGCATTTCAAATGAATATCTTATAATTTAAAATAGTGTTTAAAGTAGTAAAAATTTAGTTTTAAGCATAAAATTAAAATTTGATATTATATTATAATAATTAATTTTTTTTTTACAAATTCTTTTAGCTCACATAACGGAGTAAATTAGGGAAGTTACAAAAGTGTACTTGTTTCAAAAAACAAATAAAATAATTTTCAAATTTTACTAAACTTTTACTTTGCAGAGCTGGGTTAATGCTAAGGTGTAGTTTGTCAAACTACATTTTGTTATTAACATCACCGTTAAGTACATGTGAATTTTCATATAAGTATGTATATGAAAGAGGTGAGAAATGTGTTAATAAATAAAGTTTTGTAAATGAAAAAACTTTTATTAATAAATTTTTGTATAAAGTATCATTTTAATGTTTGTAAATATGTATGTGTCGCTGGTGTTTGAGCACTTTTGGCCAAGATTCTCTTAATGAATTGGTGATACAAATTTTAGGACTACTTTGCTGAGGTTTGATTGCGATGTAAAAATTTATTGACACATTGCTTTAGTCGTGATTTGAACTCACAGCCATAGGTTGAACCTACAGCACCTAGATGTGTATACTTTCCATTTGTATGAAGACTGAAAAACTTTTGCAATAGAACGATATTAAAAAATGTTAATATTTGACTCTTTTGTAGGTTAGTGACACATCTACATACTGAAGATATTTATTGCCAGCTGATTATGATATATCCTTGGTAAATATTAATTATTTTTATTATTATTCTTATTATTATTAATTTATTTATTTATTAATTTATTTATTTATTTATTCATTTATTCGTTTATTATTATTGAAAATTACAATAAATTAGAAACACTAGGTAATATTTTTTTTTTTTTTTTTTTTTTTTTTTGAATTGTATATGCGTGCTGATTACATATGATCTTACAATATGGGTGATTAATGATGTGCTATAAAGTCATATGATGCGAGAGTATATGAATTGGTTTATGGTATGATTATAATAGAATATATCGTACTTTTTTTGATATTTATCAAAAAGGAATGTGTCATTTAAAATTTATATGTGATGTGATTGAATAATATATCACGTGATTTAATATCACGAGTTCATTTACATATAACACGATGGTATTCAATAGCATTCCACAAGATAATATTAAAATCATAATTTAAGAAGTAAAACCTCTTATGCTGCATGTGGTGGCATAGATAACCACATATAGTATTCCTAATATTATTTTGTTGCATCATGTAAAGTACTTGCGATATAATTCAAATGATATTCTCATCATGTTTGTTTATTCGTAAGTATAGTACTATTAAGTATTAGCCATGGTTTTTTTCTTGAGCTTATATTAATACATGATATTAATATTGTGTTATTATATCATATAACATAATGTAATTTCACTCGGTGTGATAAAATGTCATATGACTTGTTTCACATTAGTATACTCCAGTACTGCATTGTATTTATACTAAAAGTTACCATGATATTTAGAAATATCAGTTTATGGTTGTTTTCACTAAGTAATGCGATAAAATAGAGGATCATGTATTGTATTGTGATTTGGTCAATTGATGTAATGTCATATAGAATTTTAATGTCATACAAAATCAGATTTTGTATAAGGCGTATGAAATTGTTATTTAATCTTGTTGCGGTATTTTAGGTTCTACTTTTTACAAAAAATTATATTCAGCACTTTAAGCGAGAAACCAAGTTTATATAATGTGATATATTACAACAAGAACTCAAGTGATATTTTCTGAAGGCTATTATATATCGAAATATAATAAGTTATAAATTTGTTATGAAAATATCTTATTTTTCATACGCTTAATTTGTTGCAATCTGAACAATGTGAGGAGTTCTCATGTGATGCGAGGTGGTATTATTATATCTGAAGTGAGTTTATTTCGAATATTATGTAATAGTGATATTTTTGAATTTGATACTATTTTTTCTAATTGTTTTCATTTAACATTTCCGCAACATTACTTATATTCAAAATGTGATATCATATTATATCATATGATGTCATGTGGAATTGACTCATATGATAATTTTAGAATGATTACATTCTACTGAATACATAATTAAAGAAAATAAAATTGAATGATTTTCCTTATGTACTTAATTATAGATACATATATGCATAATATAAATCAATTATGTGATGCATGCATATGATATCATGTAATGACACGTAATATGGTGCAACATAAAATAAAGTGACTTGATGTGATACTATACAATTTGATGTCATTTGGCATTTACTCTTGTGTTATTTTTGAAAACAAACTAATTTTGTTTGATTTTAGTTTTATTTCATATGTGATGCGATGTCATGTGATACAATGTAACATCAACAAATACATACTTTCGGTACGAGTTTACGTTGACGTTTACTTATTGTATGGAACATTGACGATAATCAAATAAATAATGTTTCAAAGAATTTGCCTAACAATAAATTTAGAATTTGACAAGCTATGATGTGATATTATATCATGTGATATTTTGTGACATGAACTCTTGTGATATTTTTTGCATGATTATAATTTAAAAAAGTATAAGAATTCAGTGTTATTTAATTAAATGTTTCTCTTTTGATCATTTTCATATCACACAATATCACACTTTGCGCTGTTTGCCATAAAAGTGCTACGATGTGATGGATTCAGATGATGTACAGCTGCTACTTTTTTCATGGCTAATAAGTTTTCGTATAAAATCCTAATCTATTTCCATGCCGGGAAAAATTTCTTTGAATATTTGTGAGCCTCCATGCAGCAAGTCATACTCCTGACCCGTGAACACTTCCACAACGGATTAGATATCCAAGAGAGCCAACTGAAAAAAAATACCTAGCACAAAGAAGCTCTATCAAAGGACAAAAACAAAACCAATAATAATATGAATTGACTTTCGTTAGTAGATACGAATAGATTGCAGGTGAAATAGTTAAGCGCGTGCCATCAAAACTACATTAAAACCAAACCAACCAAGCTGTGGCGGACAACAATCACCCAAGTAAAGTCGCCAATGTCGAAGGTGTAGATAATAGCTAAGACGTTGAAGAAGAAGAAGAAGCATAAGAACAAGCAAGTGGAAATGTAAATGCCAAGCAATCATGCCACGCAAGCGCCAGAGCAACACCAAAATCGAAGAAGTCTTATCTCAGCATACCAATGCGAACTCAATGCAATGAGGATGTACATTTTACATAAACACACATATACACACACACGCGCGCAAGGGTACACAGCATGCGGATGCCAGTGAAATTGCAAAATTGTAAAATTCTCACCGCAGCTAATCTTTGCATTGCATTTAAATTTTATTGTTTAAGCAAATTTGTACGAAGATGATCATCACTGCGCCGACAGTGGCGGCGACGACGAATGTGGAAGAGTGGACAGCGGATGGATGAAGTATTTTTTGTATTTCTTCGTAGAAATGATGGAGAATGCTCAGTTCGCATTGCCTGCCAATGGATG